AGGAAATGGTAGCCTAATACAAAATCCACCTGCCATTTACATGTATTAATTAAATAAAAAGTTCCTGCTATACCTTCATCACCTGTTGTTTCGTGGAGTCTAATGACTCTACCCACACATATGTGGGGAACAAACAGATTCGCCATCCTGATGTTAAATAGTTCTCACGTCGTGCGTGTTGCTGATATGGGATATTTACGATTAGCCTACCCTGGGCCTATAAAGCTGTTAATTCTCTAAAAAAAATGTCAACTTATTTTCGAAATATCCAATAAAACCATCGACATCGGCTCCAACCGTCGTTGTTTAGCAGTTTGGACTGATCTTCATATGGAATATGTCTGACACTGTGTTCTGTTTCATATAAAGACAATAAACTAAGATGTATAATGGTTTTTATGTCTAAATATATTGTCGGTTGTCCGTTAAAAATTTCAAACAAAATGGCGCTGTTCTCACTGGCGCTTACCATCTATCACGAAATAAAATGCATGGTATCACGAAATAACACAATCAATTGCTAGAATACATGTAGTAATAGAATCAAATCAGATAGATAATACAACAGTTACGTGATCCAAAGTGTTGTTTCCACTGTTGTACGTTAATTTTTCACGACTCTAGACGTACAGAACGTCAAACTTTTAACAGTCAAAACGTCTGCAATAATCCACGGCAAAATAACGAACGTCGGAGAAACGTTTTATCTACATCCATATTTCCACTCTCACATCGTTAAGTTCATCTGTGTGAGCCAACACATTCCTGTGCCTATTAGTAGTGCCTATACCGATTAGTATTTAAAGTTACCACAACTCGAGGCATACCTGTATACATGTAATGTGTTATATATTTAACATTTACTTCACGTCACAAATTAAACGAATTCGTTGAGACCACAACGTCTTTGTCACGTTTTCTACACTTACAAATATCTTTCACATTTAAAACACCTTTCGTCAACGTCAAAATTAACCGTTTCGACAACGTTGCAAATAAACCAATTTCTGGTGAGAACACAACATCTTTGTAACGTTTTCCGCACTTACGAATATTTTTTACATTTAAAACACGTTTCGACAATGTTGAAATTAACCGTTTGCACTACGTTGAAAATGAACAATTTTGGTGAGCACATGACGTCTTTGTAACGTGTTTTACACTTACACATATTTTTCACACTCAAACCATGTTTTGACAACGTTACAATTAACGGTTTTCACTACGTTGCAAATGAACCAATTCGCAAATATCTTTCACTTTTAAAACACGTTACGACAACGTTAAATTTTACCGTTTACATAACGTAGCAAATGTACCAGTTTGGTGAGAAAATGACGTCTTTGTAACGTGTTTTACAGTAACAAATATTTTTCACATTCAAACCATGTTTAGACAATGTTACAATTAGCCGTTTTCACTACGTTGCAAATAAACCAATTTCTGGTGAGAACACAACGTCTTTGTAACGTTTTCCGCACTTACTAATATTTTTTAAAATTTAAAACACGTTTTGACAACGTTGAAATTAACCGTTTGCACTACGTTGAAAATGAACAATTTTGGTGAGCACATGACGTCTTTGTAACGTGTTTTACACTTACACATAAAAAAAAAAAACTTACACATATTTTTCACATTCAAACCATGTTTTGACAACGTTACAATTAACCGTTTTCACTACGTTGCAAATGAACCAATTTGCAAATATCTTTCACATTTAAAACACGTTACGACAACGTTAAATTTTACCGTTTACATAACGTAGCAAATGTACCAGTTTGGTGAGAAAATGACGTCTTTGTAACGTATTTTACAATAACAAATATTTTTCACATTCAAACCATGTTTAGACAACGTTACAATTAGCCGTTTTCACTACGTTGCAAATGAAACAAATTTGGTGAGAACACAACGACTTTGTGACGTTTTCTACACTTACAAATATCTTTCACTTTTAAAACACGTTACGACAACGTCAAATTTTACCGTTTGCATTACGTAGCAAATGTACCAAATTTGGTGAGAACACAACGTCTTAGTAACGTTTTCTACACTGATAAATATTTTACACATTTAAAACACGTTACGACAACGTTAAATGTTACCGTTTATATTACGTCGCAAATGAACCAAATTGGTAAAAATTCAACGTCCCTGTTACGTTTTTCACACCAGCACAAATTACGAACTTTACGAGCACATTACTACAACGTCATTTTTTAACCATCCACCGACGTTTTGCTGAATGTCAAAATTTTACGTTGCTTTGACGTTTATATAACGGAAATATACAACGTCTTCAGTGAACTTATATACGACATATGAGTGACGTGACATTGACGTCACTGTTTGCTGGGCACTCACTTCGCTCGGAACCCTTGAAATATCATCTCTCACATCGTTCGCGACTCCTATACTATTCATCTTAGAAAAATTCAATGAATGACTTCTCTCAGATAAACTCTCATACCTTTAAGACTATTTTGCTTGTTAGTGACTTTTTTCTGTCAGATCAATTAACAACGATGTTCAGGAGTAAGCACATCATCTGTGGAGTTTGCCTGCTCCTCAGATATGTTTTGATCAGTTTCGTCTAAACGGATCCAAGTTCACATGCTGAATGAAAGTATTACAAAATATAATAGTGTTTCTAAAGCATTGTAACCTCATATTTAAACAGTTTGGTGATTTCATTTGGGTTTGCTTGGCAATATACTGATGTATAGATATGGGAAGCTGTTGTCAAATTATTGATGTTGTATATACCTTCGGGAGGTTAACCAGATCATTAATTGCTTGACTCAGGGGTTTTGTTAATCTTGGACGTAAATCTTGAGTAGCTGTCAAAAGCCGGTTAAAATCTATTTGATTTTTGAGAAAGGGGAATACCTGCCCCTGTCAGTGGGATAATATTCGGTGGTGCCAAATGAAAACACTCACCTGTACTGGCCTCTACCGCAGGATCCCTTAGGAACTGTTTAACAAGCTCTCCCATGTTTGATCCTGAATTACTTGTTGCACCCTTGGTTGATGTTGATGGTTCCTGTTTGTCTTGTTTCAGTCTTTTATATAATGACTCTACAATTATCTTGCCCCTGTACTGGCCTACTTGCACTTGTTTTTGGCATTGTTTATATGGATTTCCTGGAATATAGAAGGCAGACCAGTTAATTTTGGCAACATTTTGATACTACATTAAAAGAAGATAGGGTATAGAAATTGATCAGATATAAATATCAGGTATAAATAAAGAAAAGAATTACAACATAATCATTTTATTGTAATTTTCTTTTTATGATTATGATGTACCAAATTGCCCCAAGGGTGCACATTTAAGTATTGAAAAACAGGCCCATAAAAACGTTTTCAAAATTGTGATCATGACTTAATGATGATGATGGCATGAATTAATATGTAAATTATATCAAGCAGTAGACATATTTCCCTGCAGTCGAATACTTTCACAAATAGAACATTCAGAAGCCCTGAGTTATGCCTCTCATAGTGAGACAAGTCATTCACAAAATTATAATTTGCCCCTTTGGACCTTTATGCATATAATATTTATGCACATGGGTCAGTGCAACTCATAGAGCTGCTACCAACCCGAACGCAATATGGAATTTAATTAATATTGTAACTATACTCCTTAAAAAAGGACCTCATAGGGTTTACATGTTAACTCCCATATTTGTTTGAACGACTGTTTTCTAAGTGGGGAACAAAAGAAATCCCAATAAAGTAAATAAATCTGTATCTTGATTCTATTCCCTATAAAGTCCACAGCGTTTCAACGTTATATCTCCATTACATTCTGTCAAAATTTGATGTCAAAATTGATGAATTTCATGAAATGTAACAAAAATGGCAGATCCAATGTTAAACAAATGGGGAATGGTGGCTTAGGGGCAACTCAGATTTTGGAATATCTATTCAGCAAAACATTTATTAAAAATACTTTCTAAGTAGAAAATTGAATGATTTTACATTTTACATGCTATAAATGTCTCGCTTATGTTGTTAAAATTAGCGATACGGAGCGTTAAAGTAATTTTGACCACCTCACTGAACCACCTGTGTTATTTCAATAAGAGGTTCATTAAAAAAATATTGAATTTGAAACCATTAACCATAAACCATTAACTCGACAATTAAATCATATTTTTGTCGAGTGTACAATTTAGCTAATTTAATTATCTCTTACAATTTCAATTTTGAGAGCAATCAGATGGATGGATCGTTCCTCATATGACTTATGGCAACCCAACCATTCCCCATTTGTTTAACATGGGATCTGATATTTTTGTTAAATTTCATGAAATTCATCAATTTTGACATCAAATTTTGACCCAATGTAATGGAGATATAACATTGAAACGTTGCGGACTTTATAGTGAATAGAATTTCAACTATTGTCAATTTATCCAAGGATACAAATGTACATCAAATTATTATGTATCCAATTTTTAGTATAAAACATTATACTGCGTCTATTACAGCATTTTCTGTTACAAATAAGAGAACAAGTTTCATAATTTATTCTGATTATATTATTTCCCTTTGTGGACTGCTACATATTGTTATATTTTTACAAGAGTAGCCTATACTGCTATATAACACATGTACCTGAACTGATCATATTCTGCATCAATTTAGCTTACAGTACCTCATAATACTGTAAAAAAAATGTAATAAAACATCATGCTTAACATTATTGGTTATACTTTAGCAAGCTTTATTTTTTTTCTTTTTAATGGCATGGCTCGTATATAGCATCAATATTATACAGAAAAGCTACTTTGCTGTACAATAAATGTGATGATTAGAATAAATAATATGTGAACAAACAATGAGTCTTGTATTCTGCCTTTACACATAAAACAAATGCATACTGAATGAATTAGCAGAAAAGTAATGGAGAACAGAATAAATGTATGATTTTTTGTACACTATCTTCCAAAATATTCCCTTCAATGTGCTTTCATTTGTTTAAATGAAATTGATTCTGTTTTGCAGTATGTGATGTCATGTGATTGATAAATCTCTTGGATATCAAACATGTCAAACATTTCAGTTTCAACATGATTTCTACATATGTAAAAACTAAACAATAATACTTCAAGTAAAGTAGTCTTGTAAAAGTTTATCCTTTCAAGTCCACCTTCAAAGTTCACTCTTTTCTTCATAATGTTGTACATTAATTGTGCGATGTAATCATATGATTTTGGTACTTTCCTTGGATAAACTGACCAAGTATTTGATCCACTATTGTATTGTCTGCAATATCTGGAATATTTCTCCATCAGCCCGGTTTTAGATATGGTAAATTTCTATGCATATTATGATCAATTGCAGCCAACTGACACCTAGAGGTGTATTCTTGATGGCTATGTGCATGTCTCTTGGAGGCGTACATTAGGACATGATTGTTGATCGTCTCCAGCATGCTGGTATGCCTAAATATAAATAAAATATAAAGGGGTGCTTTTAAAAATGTTATACATTAACTAAAGTCCAATATTGCACTGGACATTGACATGCAAAATGTCATCACCAATTAGTAACTTTTTCATTTCTTGAAAGTCATTAAATGGCCTTGACCTTAAAGGGAATGCGAAGTTTTGTCCCTTAAACTTGATAATAAGTTAGAATAAAGATACATCTTTCAATCCAACTTCGTTTTATTGTTCTATCATTATCCCCTTAATTGTTATTGAGCCCCAGGTTTTGCATTGAACTGGACCACGGAGCTGCCATTTCAACCATAAAGTGGTTCTTTACGACATTGTTATGACGTCATTGATGCCCGAGATTGATGCCTTGGCATTCCAAGAGTTTTGTGGCACCATTTTTTAATCAAAAATAAATGCTGAGTTGTTGCCATTCCAAAACCAATAAATCATTTTAAAGGAACTAAAATAATACATATAGGCGTTATAGAAAAAAACTAGCAAAAACATTCTTAATCTGGATTGTATAATTACTTTTATATGTACCTTTGAGTTTTGATGTATAAATAATGTGGCAGTGTTGGCCTCTTCGTCTTCTTTTTGGCCTTTAAAGTCAGCATGCTTTAAGAGCAAGAAATCATTCTTGTTGATTTTTTCTGCATGATCTGGATGAATCCAAACTTTTAGCAATTTGTTTTCTGTGTTTAGGGCATCAAACACCATATATTACTTTCCCCCTTTTACAGGTTTGTTAAGAGCTTTTATTGTAATAGTTGCATCTGCCTGTAATAAAATTATTATTATTCAATAAATCTAAACAATAAGAGTTTCTAAATCAATCAAATTGCAGAATGATTTTCAAGAATGTGTATTTTGTCATAATTTTACATTTTAGATAAAAATGACAATGAAACTGAACTGATGTCATAAATGTCATCAAGAATTTCCCAGAAACATCAGCTTTGAGTATACATATAGCAAAGTAATTTCTAAACCTGTTTGCATTGAGCTGATATATTTATGTCACATGTATCCCATTTTCATATAGGGTGAATGGAAAAAAGGAGACTATTGAAGTACTGTATTCTCTGTAATTAGGGCCCAGGGTGCTTAGAAAATTGAAATTACATTTTTCAGACCATTCTAATAAGCGCCCATATATGAAAGAAGTCTTTGTGTATGGCAATTTTTCTTGCCAAGAATGCCTATATTTGCAGCATCAAAGTGAAGTATCAGTATATTTTTACAATAATGATATGTCTTGTTATTAAGAGAGAATACGGTAATGATTGCTCAAATATAGAAATGATCTTGCAAGAATCAATATTGACAGTGATTGAAGAAATACCCAACAGAGCCCCTCGATGTTTTCCTCGATTATCTTCAATATTTCCACTAAGGACTCTTGGATATCGATCAAAAGTTTTATATTTTTAATTTGATGATAGATCATCATTTTTCGCTTAAAAATCATGTAAAAGTCGTGAAATGTTGAAAAGGAATGAGAAAATTGATGATCTTTTTCGCAATTTTGATTTTTTTCTGATAGATTCTTCAATTCTTGTTGATTCCTTAATATATAGGAGATTGACATTTACTTACGTATCATTTAGACGACATCGATTTTTCGTTTTTTTTGCGTTTTTCATCAGAATTTAAATGATTGTTTGAATATCAAATCTATTGATGTCAAGTCAATACAACCTTTTCTTTGAAGTAATTTTTGAACCTTCACACAAAATTGCAATTGAATTTTGTTTTGATTATACAACATGAAGATCTCTTATGCAAGGAAATCCATCAGATAAAATGTTGTAAGGAAATGTCATCTTTTGATGATGATCACCAAAATCACTGGATTAACTATACGCATATATGTATCTTTATGAACCAAATGTTATGGTTTGTCATGTTTATTTCAAAGTTAGAACACAACTAGTGTTCAGTCTTAAACATCCAAAACATTGCCAATAACAGGTGATCGGGAACTGTACTGATAAATTTCTACTTACTCCAGACAGTATGGTAATGTCTTATCAGGATCATCAACACCAGTTGTGTTTGGAGTTTTCATTGGTTTTCTGTGGAAATCTATGCAACTGGAAGCTCTATCTAGCTGTGCATGCCATGGGGTACTTGTGATTTGTGTTGTACTCATTCCTGGTCTTGCAGGCAGAGGCGATAATGACAATATATCAGATATCCTGTAAAGTATAACAATATTTTTGATCACATCAGCAAATGTGCTTCTTAATCCATGTCTTTGGGCCTTTATTCTGAAATAAAGCTTACCCTGAGCTCCCTGACATTTGATCACTTGAAGAACTGTCAATTGTCTGTTTGTAGTTGACGATCACAGTTTTCTTCTGTGATTCACAGCTGTACCAAAATGGAAATGATGATCATTACAGGTATTTTAGGTCTAAGTCTTGTGCTTTCCTGGTTTCTATATCAAGAATATAAAATAACCTCAGTAATGGGTATAAGTGCAAGTATGTACAGCAAAGATACAGCCTGTACTGAGATACCTCACCAATGAGAAAAACCATATAATTATCCCTGAATTACCTAGCAATATTCACTGTTACAATAGTATCGAAGACTTATCTCAACTATTTAAATAGTTGGAATATTATCGGTGATATACTTTTCTAGGAGTAGTAAAATCTTAATCCATGGCTGGGCTTTGCAAGTTTGGTTGAAACCAGCTATACTGTTAAGCTGCTGTTCATGTATTAATCTGTTGCTATCTTTTACAATGAGAATTATTGATATTTTTCAATCAGTCTGTTAACTTCCTCCTCATTGTCTGAAAAGTCTGAGTCTAGATGAAGCAGCAGCCATGGCCTCCCACGGGCCAAACTATCCCGGATTTCACATCATTTATCGAAAGATTCTCCTATGGTTACCCTGGTCACCTCTGATTTCCTTCTTTGGTCAAATTTATGTCTTTTTGGCACTTTCCTTCAAATTTAGCCATGGTCTGGACTTTTTGTCCGCCATCATCGGGTTATTCCAATAAGAAGTCACGTGATATTTTGAACCAATTAATTTTTGACATTGCCAAAACTTCATTTCACAAAGATCTGGCTGGCGAATCTATACGCAATCTTGCGAACAATTAGAAAAATGACATCTTTATCATGAATATTTCAACAAAATATTTTCCCAATTTGTTCACAACTGTTTAGTTTATCAATACAGCCAAAATAATCACTAGGGACCCCGAGTTGTTTTTGTGTTTTTTCTAAAAGGGCAGGTTTAACATATTAGTTGAATTGTTAATTCTAGTATACAAATCAAATACAAGTTTTTTACAATCATTCATAACTGTTCATATATAAACAAAAGGAAAAAATACAATCAAGGCTGGTATTAGATGTTTCACAAAAAACTCTGGTAAATTCTGGTGTGTTTTTAATACATCTTAATCAATCTTGGTTGCTTTTAAGAATTTTTAAGTAGCTTTCAGAAGAAGTCTATTATCTTCATTACTAGGTTCTGTATTACCATTTAATAGCATTTTGACCTTGCTAACTGAGTTAACATCTAAGAATTTTTCTAAACAACCAACAATATGGAGATCTATAAGCAGTTGGATTCTGTCATTGATTTGGGATGAATATGGTGTAAATTCTGTGTCAAAAGTATTACATACCTAATTCAGTAGTTTGGGTGCACCGATATAAAAATCAGTGCCTATTTTGTATTCCTGACATATTTAGTGGAAAGTCCGGTACCTATCTCTATATTAGATGCCTGTTTAAAATTAGGTGACCCAACTTTAGTTTTCGGTCACCTAATTTTATCTGGTAACCGAATTCTGTACTATGATAAATTCGGTACGTTAAAAAATGCGGTACCCGAAAAAATTCCGTACGTCGAAAAATCGGGTGCCGGAAAAAATCCTGGACCCAATTATCGCCTCCCTTTATTAAAAGATGTCGTGGTGATCGAGCGTCCATAATTTCTTGACCAAAAATATGGATCCGATTTTCGCCTCCCTTTATCAAAAGATGTCGTGGTGATCGAGCGTCCATAATTTCTTGAACAAAAATATGGATCCGATTATCGCCTTCCTTTGTTAAAAGATGTCGTGGTAATCGAGCGTCCATAATTTATTGAACCAAAATATGGATCCGATTATCGCCTCCCTTTGTTAAAAGATGTCGTGGTAATCGAGCGTTCAGATATTTCTTGGTCAAAGAGGCTATGTACCTGATTGATTTTGAAAGAATTTCTGGCCAGGGGGGGGGGGCAACCAAATTAGGGGCGATGAAAAAAAGCCCCATAATCATCATCAACATCGTGTTTAGGAGGGTGAGGTATAGTCCTGTGTTATCCTCCCTTCTGGTTTGTTAAGTAACAGTGTTCATATTAGCGGTTATTTGTTAGATCTATCTTTGGTATTTTATTTCCCAAAGACAATTGCAGGTTGTGGGGGGGGGGCAGTTGCACCAAAATTTGGGTAAAATTGGACAAAAAAACTGGACACATAATGAAAGGCCCACCTGTTTTAGTGTCCAAAAATATTTTGTGATTGATGATGATGATTGATGATGCCACTTTGAAATAGCCGCCAGTAAATCCATCCAATCAGGACTCCTGTAACAAATAACGCGTGGGCAAAGTGTCAAACAATCAAATTAAGGCTTACTTATTCCGGATGGCGGATATAAAATTAATCTGTTATCGTACGGTTTTTGGGAGTGGTGACTTAGACAATGTCCTGAGACATCACCTGTAGTAAATACGCATATGTCATGCAATCTGTATTAATGGTGAGAGGTCTCGTTCGGGGTGGGGGGGGGGGCTGGGAGACAACGTCTAGTAGCTAAGCTTCCTCTAACCACCGTCAGTACTCATGTGACGGGTCGTGTATATTTGGTAGATCCTATGGTAATGACATTGGTGTGTTATTACCTATCTTCATTCACGTAGAGAGAGGCCGGACATCCCGATCCTGTAGCGGATCTTCTCCCTTATATGTTTGTCATTATAAGGGCCCAAGATCAACCTTACCTACCAATCTTAAAAAATATCGCCCCTTTTAACCAAACTTAAGGGAATTAATAAAAAGCGACATCTTCCTATAAAACCGACAACATTTCCGCAACACGCGGAAAACAAGAATATTCACCAAACACCAAAACGCGACCAAACACGGAAAAAGTCAACAACTCTTATAATACACACAATATGAACATAACATATACCTGACCATGAAGCTGAAACAATGAACAAAACAACCAAATTAAATTTCAACATTGAACTGACCATACCCTGATGCAATCAACCTATACGCATACACCCTCAAACACAAATATGGGAAAATCAAAATATTTGAAATATGGGCCATCAAGCCCTACATTTAAGTTAATATCTCAACAACAAAACATGCCACGAACATAATGCACACACCAACAAAAAGCTGAAACATTAAACAAGCCACCTGATCCATCAAAAGACAATTTACCTACCATTGACCCACCCCAGTCACCACCAAACTCAAACCGACTTAACAAATCGAAAATACAGCAAAATGCCGGAAAATAAAAAATACAACCATACACGAACAAATTAATGCCTCCTCAAACACACAAAATATCAACACAAAACACACATGACAATGAAGCGCAAACAATGAACAAAACAACCAAACCAAATTCCAACACTGAACTGACCATACCCCAATACAATTAACCAATACGTATACGCGTTCGATTAAAACAAAATACAAGAAAATCGAAATATTTGAAATACGGACCACTAAACGGTACATTTAAGTTAATATCTCAACAACAAGATATACTAGCTACATATCGCATATACCAACGGAAAGCTGAAACACTAAATAAACCACCTGAACTACCAAAAAGCTATTCACCCACCCTTAACCTACCACAGTCACCGCCAAACGCACACCAACTCAACAAATTGAAAACACGACAAAATGCCACGAGATACAACCGAACACGAACAAGCCAACAACCCTTTAAAAACACACAATATCAATATATAACATACACGACCATATGCATGGCCTAACCGCAAACCAAACCAAACCAAAACTTATCAATAAACTGACCACACCTTTATGCAATAAACCAATACGCATAAACAACCACCCCCCTCCCGCCAAAAACGAATACGGGAAACCTATTAAAATACAACTGAATGATAGAAATAAAACAGCATTATCATTCAGAATCAAATCACATACAAAATTCTTTCGGCCGCTGATGCAGAACAATCATGGGATACCCCCATGAGTTCGAAACATCTTGGGCCCTTATAATGACCAACATATAAGGGAGAAGATCCGCTACAGGATCGGGATGTCCGGCCTCTCTCTACGTGAATGAAGATAGGGAATAACACACCAATGTCATTACCCTAGGATCTACCAAATATACACGACCCGTCACATGCTGAGGCCCGGGTATACAGTCATTAATTAAAAATCAGTCTTATTCTTATTAATAAAAAATCAGTCTTATTCTTATTCAATGTAAGTAATATAGTAATATAGTATATTAATATACATGTATACACCACACATTACCAACTCAGTACACTAGGGGACTTTTTAAACATTTTAAACATATTCCTGGGCCTCAGGTCACATGAGTACTGACGGTGGTTAGGGGAAGCTTAGCTACTAGACGTTGTCTCCCACCCCCCCCCGAACGAGACCTCTCACCATTAATACAGATTGCATGACATATGCGTATTTACTACAGGTGATGTCTCAGGACATTGTCTAAGTCACCACTCCCAAAAACCGTACGATCAGATTAATTTTATATCCGCCATCCGGAATAAGTAAGCCTTAATTTGATTGTTTGACACTTTGCCCACGCGTTATCTGTTACAGGAGTCCTGATTGGATGGATTTACTGGCGGCTATTTCAAAGTGGCATCATCAATCATCATCATCAATCACAAAATATTTTTTGGACACTAAAACAGGTGGGCCTTCCATTATGTGTCCAGTTTTTTTGTCCAATTTTACCCAAATTTTTGGTGCAACTGCCCCCCCCCACAACTGCCCCCCCCATATCGTGCAATTGTCTTTGGGAAATAAAATTCCAAAGATAGATCTACCAAATAACCGCTGATATGAACACTGTTACTAAACAAACCAGAAGGGAGGATAACACAGGACTATACCTCACCCTCCTAAACACGATGTTGATGATGATTATGGGGCTTTTTTTCATCGCCCCTAATTTGGTTGCCCCCCCCTGGCCAGAAATTCTTTCAAAATCAATCAGGTGGCCAAGAAATATCTGAACGCTCGATTACCACGACATCTTTTAACAAAGGGAGGCGATAATCGGATCCATATTTTTGTTCAAGAAATTATGGACGCTCGATTACCACGACATCTTTTAACAAAGGGAGGCGATAATCGGATCCATATTTTTGTTTAAGAAATTATGGACGCTCGATTACCACGACATCTTTTAATAAAGGGAGGCGTTAGTTGGGTCCAGGATTTTTTCCGGCACTCGATTTTTCGACGTACGGAATTTTTTCCGGCACCCAATTTTTCGACGTACGGAATTTTTTCGGGTACCGGATTTTTTTAACGTACTGAATGTTTTTAGATACGGAATTGATTCCAGTACCGATTGAGAGAACAATTGGGCTAAGTGTTTATCATAGTACAGAATTCGGGTACCAGATAAAATTAGGTGACCGAAAAATAAAGTTGGGTCACCTAATTTTAAACAGGCATCTAATATAGAGATAGGTACCGGAATTTCCACTAAATATGTCAGGAGTACAAAATAGGCACTGATTTTTATATTGGTGCACCCAAACTTCTGAATTAGGTATGTAATACTTTTGACACAGAATTTACACCATAGATGAAGGGATCTCCATATTATAGCCAATTCATGCTATAGGCAGCCATTTTGAATTTTCTAAAGCATGAATCAGTAAAACTTCTTTCAATTTAAATACAAACCATAATTTGTATCACAATACAAATCTACAAATTGATTTTTTTAACTATTAAATATAGGTCCATATCTGATTGAAATATTAGTGACAAACATAATTTTTTGGAAGTAATTGCTTTAAAGCTTCACCTTTTTGGTCACTATCTTCTCTGGTGGCTCCTTTTTCCTTGTTAGTTTTTCTCCTGTCTCCCCCACTCTTTTCTGATATTTTCAACCGCTTTGTCATTATCACTCTCTTCCTCTTCTATATATGTCTAAAGTAGTATAATATGCATAGAGGGGGGTCACCACAAGAAATGAAAATTGTAACTTCCCATCAGCCTTGTTGAGTGAATGAATTTACAATGATTATCTACATTTTATACATATACATTACAAAGGTTGAAATGTGCTTTCAGGCTACAAAGGCTGTTATTGAGAAGGAAGCCCCTGGTTTAGCACTTGCAATGCTGCAAGGTTCTTTACAAGTCACCAGTCTTGCTATGTTATCAAGGTGAGTTAAACCAAGCGTTTTTGAGAATTCTAGTTTCTTCACCTGTAGTTTTAGAAATTGAGAGTGCTTTGTATTATAAAATAATATTAAATATACAATAGAAAATAGATTTGCATTGACATGATACTAAATTCCATTCAATGGAATACAAGTAAAATTTAATCTTTTAACAAATATGTGTTTTTAGACCAGTGTGTGGAATAAGGAAGAATTGTTTGATTGTTAACCTACCCGGTAGTAAGAAAGGATCAAGCGAGTGTCTTGACTTCATCTCCCCTGCACTACCTCATGCTATGGACCTGCTAAATAACAATAAGGAGAATGTAGGAGCTACACACACCAAGTTGCAGTCTGAACAGGTAAATTCAATTATCAAAGACTAATCAGAATGGGTGAAACAAGACAATTTTTAAACTAAGCTATTTTTGTATATATTGAATTATGACACATGTTAGTATGTAGATGTTTGCATACTCATCTTATTTCCAGACATTTATGTCTTAAAACTAATTTTATATGAGCCAAAGTGGTTAGTTGACACATTCATAGGCAAAACCAAAAATTATTCTTCCAAATAGTAAACAAGAGTTGTGAAAGACTTCCAACATTTATGACCCACAGGAGGACTCAACAAATCTCAAAGAGCAATCAGCCAATACACAAAGACAGACAGGTCAATCAGAGAAGGACACTACATTAGAGGTAGCAAATGTACTTACAACTATGGACTCTCAGGTATATTCAGGGCGAAGCCTTAGAAGAAGTATGCGACAAGTATCTTCGCAAAGACATCATACCATCTCAGATTATGCAAAAGTAGATGATGAAAATGTTGTTGTATCTCATGCATCTAAAGGAATTGATGATACCTCATCAGATTCTGAAGATGTGTCTGTGGTCGATCAAAATATTCAAACTGATCCCTATGTTGTTCATGATACTCCATATTTGTCTCAGTATTTGAATTTGCAAGATTCCTCATATCAGCCTGTATCCACTTGTACTGAATCAGGTCTTCCAATACAGATTGAGAACCAGCCATCTACATCTGGTGAACACACCATTGATGATAAAGGGCAATCTGTTGCTAGAAGTGAATCTCCAGAAATTGATGTAGATACTGTAGATACTACACCAGATCATGATATTGGACTAGAAGATGAGTTTATAGGAAAAGAATCTCAGCAAGCTACATATTCTACGCATACCCCTTCCATACTGAGAAAAAAGTCAACAAGAATACGTAGAGCCAAACAGGAATCTAAAGACCCAGAGGAAATCTATTCATTCAGGGATATGGATTTGCCTTCTGAATCACCTGCAAAACGTAGCAAAGAGGACACTGGTGTCAAGGGTACATCACTTTACAGAAGAAGCAAAACTAATGGTGAAATAGTGTTTTGTTCTGTAGGAGAAGCCATTAAGGAATACTTTCAACGACACCATCTTATCCAAGGAATATATCTAAATAAAGGAAAACGTGATGTTAAAAGGCAGCTAGTTTCATTGAAACGTAAAAGTGGAGCAGTGGACACAGGGAGATGGCTTCGAGGTAAAACAGTCCATGAAAGAAATCGCTTAGATGATCTGTTTGAAACTACTGACAAGGGTGCAGAGATGGCTGCCCGTGTTGAGAAAGGAGACATTAGGGATCAATATGTTGTCAATTGGTACCTCTGGTGTCCAGGTCATGGAAACTGTCAGAGAAAATGTGGTGGCATTGGGAAATGTGCCAAAGGTAAGTGTGCTTTTGCATATTTTTCCATAATTTTCACCACTTTTCTTTACTCCATTTCAGCCATGGTGCATTAAAACGGTGTAAATCCAAGAAAATGTTTTGTTAGAATATAAATTCACCACATATCCTACAGTTTTGTTGTACGAGTACTATTTATACTTATTACTTTATTTAAAAGAAGCTTGAAAACCTCAAAATAAGAATATCCCAGTATTTAACCAGTATGAAACATCAAATGATTTCTTAAGTGGTAAAGCCATGGATTGAGTAAATAGCTTTACAGAAATTTCTTATCTTTTCTCAAATGAACACAAATGCAGCACCTGTATACATGCTTACCCTAATATTGTTCTTGTTCTAGCTTGTCCAGGGATGGCACATAAACAAGATCGCCACAATTGTTCGTTGATGATCAATCTAAAGTTGTTCCTTGGTGACCTTACAAGGTGGCGCATTCACATAACTGGACATCATCTCCCGCCTGGTCTCGATATTGCATGGGTACCTCCAGAGAAGAGTAGGGAAAGACTAGATGAAAATGTGAGAGACTTTGTTGTTGCTGCATCCAGTGAAAAATCGGCAACATCCACTGATATTTTTGACAAGTTAACTCAGGCAACAGGGAATGTGTTCAATAAACGGAAGATCCAGAGTTTTATATCTAGTATGTTAAAGAGAAGAAAGCAGCGGGATTACAATGTTAAATCTCCATCAAAAGGAGCTGAGAAAAATGATGTTTCATCAGAGAAACAATCAGATATCTGTGAAGTGATTTTAGTTGAAAATGCTAACCGAGGAGTTGTAATGGTTTTGAACCAATCAGTTGATCCAAATACTGGTACAAACATGTACTATCCAGCTGATTCTGATGTTGCATTATCACAAGATGAACTACTGGAACTCCAGCAACATTTAGCCAAGCAGGGTATAACTGCACAGATTGCAGTAACTGGAGCTGCTCATGTTGAACCTCCAATAGTTTCTGAAAATGTTGAGATAACAGATTCATGATACAGATATCTAATTATGTAGAGATATTGAATGGCATTGGATTGGACATTTATTGTACAGATATTTTATTATGTAGAAATATTGAATGGCATTGGATTTATTTGTATGTTATATTTATTAACATTTTGTGAACAAAAAGAGAAATACTGATTAATGTAAACATACTGAATGACACATTATATATTGAATATCTGTGAAGTGGAATACTTCAGGAATACCTCCTTATGAACATTTTGGAATCCAGTGTTGTCCCTTTAAGTGAAACATAACAAAGCTGTTCAATTCACACATGTTCTTCTGTTTGAATGAAATTGAATAATATTATAGTTCATAACTATATTCATTAATGAATATTTAATTAAGCAATATTTAGAATGAACATTTCTATTTAAATAAAGTACAAAAATGTCTTCTGTATCATTGACAACTTTATTGAAAATGGTGAAAAAGAACACAAATTATATATTATGACCATATGGTGTGAAATATATTCTTTTAAGCTTTAAGGACAATTGAAGGTGTTTCTTAGATTTTATTTAGAATGGGTAAAAGGTGTTTTCATAATTTGCACAAGATTTCTTATATAAACATTTTCTAGCATTACAGAAAGTCAGGTGGATTATGTAAATGTAACATTCATCAGACAGTATGAATTGATATAAATGGCAAGGATCGGTTAAAATTTAAACATTTGAATCTACTATCTAAATATTTTAAATCTTTAGCAAACGAGACAATTCTAGTGCAAATACATGTATACCTGGTTGGGAAGGATAATCTTGCAAGTTAAGTTATTGTTAGAATCTCTAATAACAGTTAAATATACAAGTGAAGGTAAATTAAAATTAATGGTTAACTCTGGATAAATTGATTCATGAACAATACTTCCTAACAGCTTCATGGGAACCATTACCATGGTCATCATGGACATCAACATGGAATCCATCATCATCATGGTCACCATAGTGAGCACCATCACCATGGACACCAACATAGTAAGTATAACTTACTTATAAGCCTGGTTGAAATAAGCTGAAATTCATATTAGGTTTTGAAAACTTTTTATGGTAACTTCCTCTATAGATGACATGAATAAGAATTTTATGCATGATTGACTTTGGGTTTTGAATGAATAACAGTGTTTATGTCATATGTTCTAGGCCATGTTGATGTTAGCAAAGTAGCTAGAAGACCAAGGGAATCCCAGTATCCACTTGTCACAGTTGACCAAGCTGTAGATACAGTGCTCCGTGAGACAGTAAAGCTTGGCACAGAATCTGTTAGTCTTAAAGGTAAGTGGTCACAATCACCCTTTGTACCCTTTATTGAGAAAATATGATTATTTTATTGATTAAGTTTCACACTGCACTGGTACTTCACTCTATAATGCTGGTTACCGAAATACTAGAACCACAAAGTTACGATTATTCTCTTTTCCTTATCTCACACTTTGTAGGCAGAATCCCGACAACATTTTTATCGCAAATGTGTGTCAGTATCATGTATATTTAAGAAAATGTACATGTTTGTGAACACATAGGACAATGGGTAAGAAGTGCTGATCCTTTTTGAAGTTCCATTTACAAAAGTGAGGTATTAAATCATTGATTCATGATTCTGACATTTTGATCAGCATATTCAAATAGAGTACCAGTGTTTAGGGAGGCTTGTATCATAAGAAGGCTATGAAGTTCAATATTTGTAAGCAGTGTGAATAATTTCACTTCTGTTCAACTGTCCATAGTACTCCATTTCACGTAGTGTATCTTTGTTGTTGCTTACTAGAACTATAGTAGCCATGTTCTTGTTTTTTGGATTGAGGGACATTATCATGTTTCATATTTTGCCTCAATTTTACAAAGATTTACTCAATGCTTGGAGTATTCTTGGAGGCTCAGAATCCAAAATTGATAACATAACATTTGCAGAAATTAGACAAATGGTGATATGGCACAATAAAGACATAACTTTCAATAACAAATGTTTGTATTTTGAAAACTGGATAAATTCAAATATATTATATGTTAATGATCTTATGTGTACCCAAGATGAAATTCTTCATAAGCTTAAATCTAGGGTCAATTGGATGGCAGAATATATAACTGTTAAGCAATCTTTGCCATTTCAATATAGAGTAAAAATATTTAGTGAGGCAAGCAGATGTACATATGTTAATACAAATTTAAGTTTAAGATTTTATGACAGTAAATTGAAGCATTATAGATTTTTGGATAAACATGCTAGTTCTAGAGACATATATTCAATCTTGTTAGAACATATAGCAACTAAAACATATTTGGAATCATTTTGGATTAATCTTTGTGAAATTCAAAATAGTCAAATGCTGTTTCAACAGACTTGGATACTTTTAAAGCAATCCAAAAATAAAAAAGTGGCCAATTTTAAATACAAACTTTTACATTATATTTTACCATGCAAACAATTACTTCTAAGATGGAAAATAAGTGTTAATGACAAGTGTGATATTTGTGGACAAGTAGAAGACTATAAACATTTGTTCTTTCAATGTCATAGAGTACTTAATGTAATAGACCAACTTGAAAATTATATTTTAGATCATTTTAAAATTGAATTAAGCTTGCAAAAGTATAAAACTCTTGTCTTTGGCTATAAGGTACAAGACACTAACTATACTTATTTCAATGAATGGTTAAACAACTTATGGTACATTATATTTGTAAACTATTGTATTAATGTTCAAGAATTGGAATTGCATCATTTTTCACAAATATCGTAATATTGTAAAATGACCTGATGTACTTGTATACAAAGTTATAAAATGAGAAATATATACATGATTTAAAAAAAAAAAAGTTTCATATTTTAGATGCACTGGGGAAATATTTGGCTGAAGATGTGTTTGCTCAAGATCCACTCCCTCCTTTCCCTGCATCAATAAAAGATGGTTATGCAATAAAAGGTAAGCCAGACAAAATTAATAGTATTTTATTTGTGTAAAGAATATCATAGACTAGATTCAGTATGGGGAAAAAATAAAAAGCAAATATATTTTGATGAGAAGTTTTGTTAAGTCACCTTTACCAATTGAAGGGTAATACTGATTTACTTTTTAAAACTATGATACTGACATTTACCAGGAACACAATAGGTGTTAAGATATGATACATTAAATGCAAATCAGAGGCTTTGTTAGCCCATTTTGCCAGTGTAGGAACTTAAAACATAGTAGGCAAGGGAAATGCATAATAAAAGTAAAAAACAACAAAAACAATAAATCTTAAATCCTCAAAATGTGATTAGTGCAACAATTTCATTCTATGCCCCTTTGCACTTGTTTTAATGACTTAAACTACAGAATAAATTCAGACTTTCATATCTTTGCATTAGCAAACCTGTCAATTACATTGCCAAACCTAATGTCCTGTTCTCTGTGAATATGAATCATTGCCAATGTGTACAGCTCTGCAAAGTCCCGATCTGGAGTTCTTATTTACGTTTTCTTCACTTTGCAAATATGTTCATTTTTTTTATCTAAATGTGAAATAAATTCAAAATGTAAAATACGATGAGAGTTGTACCAAACCAGTGTATATGTTAGGGTACAGTGACTGAGGCAAATATGTTTTTATTTTTAATCTAAATGTGAAATGAATTCAAAATGTAAAATGTGATGAGAGTTGTACCAAACAAGTGTACACATTAGGCTACAGTGACTAAGGTTTCTACTAAATGCTTTCAAATAGTGTAGTTGGGATGTTGCCTTTGGCAACGAATCTGTCCCATCCCTGGCCCCAACATGTTATTTCATCTTGGAGCTCCTGTATATCCCCAGCCTCAAGATACATTTAAAATCTGTCAAACAAGTTTCCTACATTCAGATTTGTCAGATTGCCTCATATTTTGGGCTTTGAATCTTTTTTGGATTAATTAGTACAGTACAGATTTCAATGATTATATTATCAAGGAAATGGTTGTAGAAGGTGCGTCTATTATGTATTCTAACATTAATTATCCCTATATTCCTGCTGTGTGGTCTATGGTGTCATGGAAGAATTCCAATTCTTGCAAATTCAATGGCTACTTCATGAAGAGCATTGTACATCTCTTTGTTATCATGTTCATTTGACAACAGTGTAACAAGTCCCTCTGCTTCACAACTATCTTGCAGTGTATCAATATCATCGAGTTGTAGGTATTTTGATAGTGGAAGGACTGATTCGAATAAATAAATAAATGTTAAGGTACAAGGTGCATTTTAGCAGGATCAGCTTTCAGATTTACTGAAGGTAAAGAATATCAGTGATGTATGTCACTAGCGCATGTATGTGTCCTCAAGACTTTTGCAAAAACCCATACATACAATGTTATCTGAAATTTTTTTGAAGTATATTATAATTTCATTAAGTAGTTTGAAAAGTATTACTTGTATTAGCACTGCTGTCAGCTTCATCAGCATTTCTGTCAGCTTCATCAATCTGATAACATTTGCATTCAGTGGTGCATTTGATCCTAGATTTCCTACAAGAGCAACACATTGATCTACAGCTTTTCAGACACTGGCAGCTAATGAGCTCTTGTAATCCATTGGGAATGGCTGATAGGGTTGTCCACATAGGTACTTATGTAGAAGGCACAATTCTTCATCCATAGTTTAAAGGGAGTGGTATTTCAGGGAATTAAGCAGTTTTCCTAATGCTTGTTTGGATGGAAGCTCTCTTCTACATATTGCTTTTGCAATATTTTATGGACGAACTTTCATGTTCACTGTTTCTTCTTAAAAATGTGTTCAGTGTTGTCTTTTTGATAAATTATATAGATTATATTTCCCTATATTCTACATACGGTAATTGAAGATTGAATATTATATTCCTTGTCCAGTTTGCTTGTATAAACAGCAATGTAACACATGTGTATGACTGAATGATACAATGGTGAGTATAGGCAAAAATTACGACAAACACATCTCCATATGCTAAGGAAGCATCCCTTGAAACCATGCTATGGATTTGGAGCATCAAATGATGTCCCGTTTGCCAATCAACACACTAAATCTCAACAGTGGACTTCCTAAAACATTGGAGGGCTTGAATTTACTTAACTTGATCCTTGTTAATTATTTTGTCCACTGGAAGATCAAATGATACAATAAAATATATCATACCCTTGTCACCCATCTCGAGCACACCTTTCTTCTTTTTGGGAGTAATCTAATGATAAGGTGGATACTCTGATATAGATGATGATATCCATATTGGGAATATGTATCTCAATACAGTGGCAAAGGTACCTATGGAAACCCTTACCATGCTAGTTCGAACATTTGATAAAATCCTTATGGTACATTTCACTGAAGATGTTGGAACTTGTCATTACTCAACCTTTGAAAGCTTCCACATAATTGCTTGTATACATGTTAGAAACTGTATCTGTGCTACGATAATATGTATTACCTTCTTGTATTTATTTACTTGCAGCAAAAATGGTTGAAGCTAATCTAAATTCTTACTTCGGTCTTCAATTCATTTTTGTGCCACTTTCCCATTAATGGAAGGCATTTATGAAACCAGCATTGCTTAGATGTAAGAATGCTCCTGGACTTGGACTGCCACTTTAACCTCATTCAATTAGTAAAAAACATGTTCTTGATGTACATTCCAATGATATGGGGCTGTCTATCCAGCTTCCTGGTCCATGTATCACCATTTTTCACATATATACTGAAAGGATTAACATATCCTACTAACATGTACTATAGAAGCAAAATAGAAATGTGATATGAAATGAAATGGAAATATCTTACAGAAACATTATCAAACACAACAAACGAAAATAGCCCTTGTGCCAATTAGCATTTAAATATGCGTTTACAATAACTGTTTTGAATCAACTGGTCAAGATGGCCAATGACGGCATGATAGAGACAATTACCATCACCCAAAATGTCTACTCTCCTGTAGTCCTTCCATTATGCAAAAGACAAAAGAGAAACAAATTAAAAATCATTGACAATGTTAATGTATTCAAGTACATGTATTAATCGATTTGCACTCACAACACATTATGGTATGTAGTAATAAAAGTATCACAGGGATCCGAAGCTTTATGTACTTGGTACATTTATGATAATTGTTCCTTTAATACAATGTTTCCTGTGAATCTTTCTTTGGTCAGTTGTCAATGGATTTTGTTGCTCACATTGTCTGCCAGTTTGTCTCTTCATTTCCTTATGTCCATTCCTGTTTTTAGACTAGATTTGAGCTTCTGCTTCTTATTTTTTCTTTTTTTTCTATGTAGTCTGCATTAGTAATGATGAATGCATGTACACTTGATGTTTTGGTGGATTTCTCGGGATATTTTGGAACATCATTATCTTCATCTAGGGTAAAACAAAGTCATAAATGGCCAGTTTCCAGTTGAAGGATCCTCATCGGGTATGTTTCCTTTAAGCTTCAGCCATGTTACATGTTTTGTGTATGTGAATGATCTGAACCATGTTGCTCCCTCCCTAGGTATTTAAAGCCAATGTCCTAATTGTTTTCAATTATTCAATTGTAATTGTGATCCTTGATAATATTGTACCACCAAACAAAATCTTTAACAAAGTACAATCAATTCAAGTCTGCTCCAAGCATAACTGATTTTAATACTGTGGTATCAAGTTCATACACTGTAAGTAGTTCAATCTAAGTGCATTATCCTAATATGATGTTAATTTATCAGGAATAGGTATGCCTACAAACCAATATGTTGTGTTGACAGCACATTTATTATTTTGAAATAGTCATCTTCATAAATACATGTATGTGTACTTTTTACTGTATTATCATTTTTAACAATGCCTCTCTGCAAGGTGTTTTTATAAGCAGAAGGTTCCAACCATTTCAGATTTTTTTCAGAATTGCTCTTACTCCGATACCTGTTTTTGAGCATTCACTATCCCAGTTCCTATGGAATGACCTAAAGACAATTCAGTCTAGCTGTTGCAAGTTGATGAGTTAATAAGGAGTATGTTAACAACACCATCAAAGAGTTTCTCTGTAAGATTAATAAATTGAACATGTTCGCAGTGGAATACAAGGTGACTGGCTATATCAATTGTCAAGTTTTCACATGCAAGACATTTTGTTTCTTTTTCAGTAAAAAGTAATGGAGTGCAAGTTGCCCAAAGCACCAAGTAAACATTGGATATTTTAAACCAAGTTGCCAATAAATTATAGACTCACTCAATATGAACATTTGAAAAGAGTTGGAATATAGAATTAATGTGAACAGTCTTTCATCATGTCTGATATGTTGAATTTGACCATTACTAACAATTTGCATTTTCCTTTGTTCACAATTCTTTGTTCACAAGTAACTGTAGATGTTTTCTTAATTATATTACGGACATATATTTGCTCATTTCTAGTTGGTATGGGTTCATTACCTAATGACCAGTTTGATTTATACTTATTGAGGTTTGATTTTCCAAAGATATAACAGCATTTTGCATTGATTTGGAGGTGAATCGGCATGATTTTCTTGTTTCCAACGACAGCTTGATTTGTATACTATATCTAATAATTATTGCAGAGCATTAGCAGTGGTAGATATGACTATCGTGTGGTCAGCTACTTAGTACACATGGCAATTTCATATGTCATTGATATAAATTTGGAGCCAACTTGAACTGCATATTCTTCAGTTGGCCAGTCTTGATTTATGGTTACACATACAAGACTCAAGCACAGGTATTACTATAACCTTGTACTTTGAGTCTCCACAATCCCCTTATATGTTGTATCAATGCTCTTGTATGAGGTATAGCATAGATTTGGGTGTCAAGTACTGAGTCATCTGTGATAGAGAATTGTTGTATTTAGCCAGTGTTCTTGTGTTTTCCAAATATCTTTCCATTACTGCTCCATGCACATTCCATACATGTAGAGTCATGATGTTTGAATGTGTACAGGAATAGAG